CGTCTGTCTCATAAACAACAACAACATTACAGGGTTTTGTAATTAATTCTGGTAATGTGCTTTTTATATCTGCGTTAAATCACCTTGTCCCGTATTTTTTAAATGGTATCTCCAGAGGATGGTTTCCACTTCTTTCACTTCACATGAACGTAAAGTAACATCTTGTTAGAATAATATACAAAGTTTCACAAAGAAAGTGGCTTTCAATAAAAGTCTTGGAGCTTGTTTATTGAAACAAATGCTCTAAATGTCTCCCTCTTAATAACCTGCTTTGCTAATGGCTAAGAAGACTAGGGATTAACCAGCAATCAATCTCTTTGGCGCTTTAGCTCAGCAGAGAGTAATAACAGCTTCAATTAGACTTTCAAGATGTTCTTTTTCTCTCTCACTCCTGCTTGTATACCATTAGGTCTAATCAGTGTTCCTGGCTAATTTTGATGTTTGTCTAATGACGCTGCGTGTGTTTGTGCAGCTAATTCAGGTCAGCATACAGAGGTAAATTGTGCTTTAATTGTTACTATTATTGCCTTTTAAAAGTTACAGCAGAGGCTTGTAAAAAAAGGGCTGCAAGAAGAAAAGATGAGCATGAAAGTAAAAGTGAGTCGATGCAGGCTATAAAGACGGAATGGGCAAGTTGTGGCTGCACAGGCTTTTTGAGAAAATCGTCCTCCTGAAGGGGAAAAAATGGGGGGAAATTGTAAATGATGAAAACAGGAAATGTTAAAATCACTTGTTAAGAGGTGGTGGCACTCTCCAGCTCAGGTTTCAGCTTGTGGCTGGGAACAAACAGAGAAATTGACTCTGGCAGAAAGAGATTAGCCTCAGTGTTTCTCTCCGAGCAGAGTAACCAGCTGTATGGAGGCCAGTTCTCTTCAACTGCAAGAGACCTGGGTGCAGGACCTTTCCTCCTGCTTTTCCTTTCACCTCTCCTCTTTCTCTGTTAGCCCAACAACGGCTGTTTTATTTTTTACTCTCCTCTGTTTTATAGCCAACCTCAGTCCCCTCACAGCAAACCAAGATCTCCTCGTGAAGGTGTCTTTAGGGGTCATGCACAACCGGGTTTGTTGTCAGAGCAGTCTTCATTCTTTAAGTCCAAAGTGACGGAATATTTTTAAAAGATTGGAAAGTGGGTCAGAGGTCCTGTAGATGTTGTTACCCTTCTGTAAGGACTATAATGGTGAAGATGTGTTCTTTGTGAGGATCACAGTTGCTTAATGGCAGGTTTTGCAGGAAAATATTGATATTTCTTAAGAGTGAAATTGTGTGTAGTTGGCACTGAAACACAACTATTATTATTTTACTTATCCACTAGATTTTATTCAACTATTATTATGTTACTTATCCACTAGATTTTATTTTCACTTTCTGAAAGCTTTTTTAAATTAATATTGATGAAAACAAAGTATTGTTTAAAATTTATCCACCAAAGAAGACAAAGATTATTGAAATCACATAACATTCGTTTTATTACTTACTTTGTCTTTATATCATCCGTCCATCTATCCATCTATTCATCCAACATACATACATCCACCATCATCCACCATCCAACCATTCATCCAACATCCATCCATCTAGATCATATAGCAGCAACAGTCTCATAGACATCCCTGACGACTCTCCCCAGCTTCCAAGGAATTCATAGGCTAGAGAGGATGGATGGCTCTTCCAGCAAGTATTGGGTCTGCCCCCAGCCTGTCCTTCTAGTAAGATGTACCAGGTAAACCTTCAGAGCAGGGTGCCCAGGAGACATGTCTGAACCACCACCTTTGACTCTTTTAGATATGCAGGATCAGTGGCTCTACTCAGGGCTCTCCATGGATGAAGGAGTTCCTCATTGTAACTAATCCCAGCCGTCCTACAGAGGAAGTCCATTTCAGTTGACCGAAGGTGAGTTGGAACAAAGATAGACCAGGAAAATAAAAAGTTTGCCTTTTGGCTTAGCTCTTTCTTCACCATGACAGACTGGAACATCGCCATCAGTACTGTGGATGAGGACCAGATCTGTCAGTCCTTCTCTCTCTCTCTGTCCTATTTTTGGTGAGAAAAACAAAACATTTTTACAAGCTTTGCTTTGTGCTTTAAAACCCACAACAAACAACAACAAAGCTGTAGTTTTCATGCCTTCCTGGCTTTGTTGCTTTTCTGTTGTCCTTAGTCCTAAATTATGAGTACCATAATTTCCGGACTATAAGCCATTACTTTTTTCACACACTTCAAACACCACAGCTTATACAATGCTGCAGCTAATTTATGGATTTTTTTTGTTTGTTGAGGAACTAATGAGCTTCATGCCACCAAAACATTTAGCTTCCTCACACACAGGCGCTTACATAGCTGCCCAATACACAGCTCTCTTGGGGGGTAGCTATCAGTGACTTCCTGGTAGACTACTGTATTTTTTTTATCAGCTGTGTTATAGGCACTTTCAGAAAAAAAACATTTACTGTATTTGTGCGTGTTACTGGTACGTATTTAATTAAAAGTTTAAAAAAATCTTTCTGTGTAAATATCTCATGTTACAACATGAAAATCTACGGCTTATTCAAATTCAAATTCAAAATACTTTATTAATCCCAAGGGGAAATTATTTTTTGTTGTAACTCGTTATCCTCATTTCATTAAGAGATGTTATAGATGCTGATGGCTGTAGACAGGAAGGATCAATTGTAAAGGTTCATCCCACAGTGGATCCTAAGAAACTGGCTGCAGATGCCGTTCGATCCGTCCACCCAGACTCGGCTGGCCTCTCGGTTCCCCCGGGCTGTAGAACCGCCCGAATGCCGGGCAGAAATCCTCCCAGAGCGATGGCCACTCCTCCCAGCAGCCTGCTGAGCTCCTCTTCGCTGCGGACAGCCAACTGTAGGTGCCGAGGGACGATCCTGTCCTTCCGCTGTCATGAGCCGTGTTTCCTGCTAGTTCCAGGATCTCAGTGGTCAGGCACTTGAGCACAGCTGGCAGGTAGATGAGAATGCATCCACAGAACATCCTTTCAACTCATTTGAGATTTGGTGCTGTAGTTGATATATTATTTGAGTTTTTGAGATGTTAATCAACTGCTGGTTGTAGGAAACTGCCTTGTTGCCATGGTTACGCATCATAACAAATGTCCAAAACTAAAAAAAGTTTCAGTAAAAATCCTTCCAGCTGCACAGCATCCGATACCAGAGGAAACAATCATCCAAAAAATGTGATTTACATCCAGAAAAAGAGGAATTAAAGTTTCCAAAAGCGAAATCTCAGAATGAAAGTAACAGAGCTGCTCCAACATGCAGCCACCTTGAGCGGCACAATTCTAGAACTGTAGACAAGTGTGGCCTATTCATCCATCCATCCATCCATCCATTATCTTTACCTGCTTATTCCATTTTTGGGTCACGGGGGTCGCCGGTGCCCATGTCCAGCAATCACTGTGCGAGGGGCGGGGTAAACCCTGGACGGGTCTCCAGTCCATCACAGGGCCACATAGAAACAAACGAGACAAACAACCATTCACTTTCTCATGCACACCTAGGGACAATTTAGAGTTACCAATCAGCCTAACATGCATGTTTTTGGACTGTGGGAGGAAACCGGAGTACCCGGAGAAAACCCTCGCATGCACAGAGAGAACATGCAAACTCCACCCAGAAAGGCCCCCGGACCGGGGTTTGAACCAAGGACCTGCCCGCTGAGAGGCAGCAGCTCTACCAGTTGCACCACCGTGCTGTGGCCTATTCATGTAAAATTAAAATTTTCTTTTAAAATTTAGCGGACGCAGCTTATTTTCAGGTGCGCTCAATAGTCCAGAAATTACAGTACTTTAGAGAAAACGGTGAACAGTATTAAAAAAATAAATAAATAAGTAGAGCTACGCTTGTTTTGAATGAATCTTTATTCACGCAAATTTTATTTTATTTTTTTTGTATTTTATGTTGGTAACGTGAACATTTTTGCCACCTACTGGTGTGATATGGGTATTTCAGTGTTTTCCTTTTTACTCCTCTTTACTCCTCTTCATCTGGATAAATAATGCTAGAGAGTTGTGTAAAATAGATACGTATTGATACAGTATTTTATTAGGGCTTCAAGCACTTTGTGCACTTTATTTTCTGTGAAATTTACCACACATTCTTGCATTCGTTTTGTTTTTTTGTAATTTTTTCCAAAAAAAAAAAAATCAGTCATAGAAAACCTCAGCCCTATTTTGGCAGCTCAAAACTAATCAGTCCTTCATTCTTACACAATTTACACTTTTTCAAAGATGTGTGAATAGCTTACAAGCTCTGATCTGGTCTGGGTTTGTGTATGTGTGTGTTTTTGGGAGGGGTGGACCATAGTAAAAATCAAAACCCAATGATAGAAACCATGTTGTAATTATTTGGTTCTAAGTTTATGAGAAACTATAACTCAACATTGGCCTGTGACCAAACATGTGGATGAAAGCCCGTCCTTGGTGCTGTGAAAACAAACATCCCCCCCATGTCTCATAACTCTCCCACTATTACTGAGGATGGTGATTTGATATTGATTAGGTTTCATGAGGACCCACCGCTCATCCAGCTTATTGTTCCATGGGACAGAATGGAGGTTTGTCCTCTCTGGAGTCTTGTGGCCTTGTGCAAGCTGTATTATCTGCTGTTATGGCTTCACAGCAGCCTGTGCCCTGCATCCATGATGGGGCTCATGACTCAGGCACCACATTGTGCGCTTTGTGATAAAGCAATTATTTCCCATGGCCCTGCGGACCGAGACAAAACTTATCTATCTCTATGTTGATGCTTCTGAGTTTTTCTTTATTTTTCTTATTGTCTGTGTTTTTGTTTTGGGTCAGCAGATGTGAAATGGGCCTGTTTGTAATTAATGCGTCTGTCACCAAGGGCGAACGAAAAGAAGAGAATTCACACAGCCCACAGTGTTGGAAATTGCTCTTACACTTGCATTTGTGAGAGCACAAGGTTACTCACAACTATATGATCATTCAGACCTGTTCATCATATATTCATGCTCCCTTTTTGCAGGTGCTGATTGAGGCAACAGTTTCCAGAGAGCGACGAGGTTACATTGCCATAGATGACATCATGGTCCTCAACTATCCCTGCTGTAAGTGCCACTTCTGACTGTGGTTACACAAGGTGCTGTATAAAAGAGGCATTTAGCAGTTTGATGTGAGGAAAATGCATATTAATGTAAAATGAAGCTTAAATAAAAATAGAAAAAGAGTGGCACCTGGTTAAGCTTTTAAAATCACTGGGATGATGGGATTTGAACACTGTCCTCCACCCGAGAAAACACCAGTAACTTTGCTTTAACAGCTTTGATGCTGTTAGTTTATATGACTGGGATAACATTTTATACGGGGTTGTATGGAGTAGTTGTAAAAAGTCATTATCATACCTGAAGTAGATGGCAGTCATGTTGATCCCAATTTGAGCAGATGGGAGGGAAATTTTCATTTAAAAGCTAGGCTAACATCTACTCCGATCTTGGCCTATTCAAAGCAAATCACTACTATCTAAAATATATTTTCTAGTAGTTTAAGCAAACATTATTAAAGCTATTCTTTCACCATTACATTTTTTCATGAAAAACATCACTGCTTTCTCAACCAAACAATGTCCATGTTGCTCCACATAATTCAATGCTGAAAGTCTTCCCTCATCGATCAGTCATCATGACTTAAAGTCCCACTGAGCTACTCGGAAGATAACTAGATTGAAAGATTGAATGACTTTAAAAGGAAAGACTTCAGAGGTAAATGTAATGTAGAGCGGAATAAGGAAATGATGCAAAGAACTGTTGGTTTGAGATACTGAACGATTCAGATGGTCATTGGTAGGATATTTTAAACGATAAATAATAACTGGTCATTACTTTCAAAGTACCTTTCTAGCAAACCAAGATACGTAAAGTGCTTTGCAACACAGTCTGCCCTCAATCCCTCTCCACATACACATATAGTCATACAGCACTCTACTATTGGTGTTGTGCCACCGTCTCATCTCTCATCGGCTCTGTACCACACCGCACCAGTTAAGGGCCTGCGCACTGCTGGTATCTACCTCACTCAGCCCGGTTTATGGGACCACCTTGTTTGACATTCCAAGATCACTGCTCGGAGGGGCCGATTTTGACATAAGCAGACAGCAGTCGTTGAATGGCCAGCAGAGCTACGTCATGGATGACCTGTCGAGCAAATCTAGGAACATCTGAACCTCCATTTCCTCATCGTGTTGACAGACAGTGCCCCAAGAAATGAGATATCGGGAGATATCGAAGATGATGGCGCAGCATGGCTACACCTGCACTTATAAGCCTGAACTTGTAAATTTATTAAAGATAAATTTTAAAGTAGATGCAGTATGGTAACTTTTAGTATGATTTGTTAAAATGTATATTTGAACTACTGGGGTCAGAGATGGGGTAGAGGTAGGGCAGCTGACTTGGGACCAGAAAGTCTTGGTTCGACTCCCAGCCATTCCCACATATCGTGGTGTCTCTGACCAAGGCACCCAATCCCAAACTGCTCCCCGGGCACTTGCTGTGCATAGCTGCCCACTGCTCCACCTGGGTGTATCCTAGGTCAGAATCAGAATATACTTTATTATCATTGCACCGAGATACAACGAGAACATGTACGTACAGTCATCCGAAAGATGGGCGGAGTGCACGAAGCTGCTACTATAAAAAGCGCAGTCCTCTTATTCTTATTCAGGTGTGATGGATGCAGAGAACTAATTTCGCCATTGTATTGGAACATACAATGATGACAATCTCAGACTTCCCTTCCCTCTAACATTTTTTGAGGTTTGAACTGTTCAGTGTCACCAAAAGTGTTCCTCAGTGGACCCTGCGCTGACTAGTTTTTAGCTTAAATATTTTTTTGAAAATCCTACCATGATTCTCCAAACTGAGATCACTCACTGCCTGTTACAACAGGTAAGTTAATGATGCTGTTAATTGCTTTTCAGAAACACCAAAGTGTATGCTCATTAATCCAGGTATAAATCCAACAATGTTCAGTCAGGTCATCTGGATGGTTTATTTTGTTGCTGAGATGTTTCATCCTTCATCTGAAGGACTTCTTCAGTCTCAGGAGCCCACCAAACCAAACTGATTCCCACAAATGGGCTCACTCCTAGAGTGGGAAAAAACACTTTGCTGGTGATAAAGATGGCCTCCGGGGCCCACCCTCACCCTCAAGGCAGACCATACTAAAGTGGTTCAAAACACCAAAGTTCATGCTCATTAATTCAGGTGTTAATCCAACAAAGCTCAGTCAATTCAATTCAGTTTATTGATATAACGCCAAGCCACAAAAGAAGTTGTCTCAGGGCGCTGAACAGAAACATTCAAATAAAAATAATAATTTAACATTATTTATCTGAGGAGCAAACTGCTTTGAATTTAACTCCATCACAGAACTCTCATCTTGAGCAAGCATGAAGACGACAGTGGAAAGGAAAAACCTCATGAGGAAGAAACCTTTAGCAGAACCAGGCTCAGGACAAGCGGCCATCTGCTTCGGCCGGCTGGGTTTGAGAGGAACAGGAAACAATGACTGATACACAATGGCAGGTCAAGAATCACATGCTAGATAGAAATAGTATCAAATGAAAACTATTCAATTTTATCAATTCATTTAAGGAAATGAGGTCAGTTTGTCCTCCATTAGTCTAAGCCTATAGCAGTATAACAAGACAACCCTAATTATAGAATGTATCAAAAAGGAAAGTCTTATGTCCAGTCTTAAAACTGGACAATGTGTCAGTCTTACAGACAAAAACTGGAAGTTGGTTCCACAAGAAAGGAGCCTGATAACTGGAAGATCTTCCTCCTATTCAGCTTTTGGAAACTCTATGGACTGCGAGTAAACCTGCAGTCTGAGAGTTATGTGCTCTGTTAGGAAGATATGGAACAATAAGATCTGTAATATAAGATGGAACTAGATTGTTGAGAGCTTTGTAGGTTAGACGTAAGATTTTGAATTCATTTCTGGATTTGACAGGGAGCCAGTGGAGAGAAGCTAAAACTGGAGAGATATGATCTCTCCCACTAACTCCAGTTAAGACTGGCAGCAGCGTTTTGGATCAACTGAAGACATTTTAAATAAATATTTGGACACTCAGATAATAAACCATTGCAATAGTCCTGTCTAGATGTGACAAATGCATGAACTAGTTTCATCTGAACAGTTTCTTTTGTTGCAGATAGGTTTCATCCTTCATCCGAAGAACTTCTTCAGTCTGAGGAGCACTTTTCAGAAACCTACTTTAAAAACATATATTTCTTAAATCAGTGTGATTTTAACACTCTTGCTAAAGGCTCTTACATGTTTCCCCTGGTGGTGCAGTGCAGCTTCTGTGTCAGTTTTGTACATGAATAGTTTTCCCATCAGGCCACCACCGTTTGAAGCGTTCAGAGAATGCTCCTCTCTTCAGGGCGAGTTTTTCAGTGCTGTTTGCAATCGAGGGCTTTTTGTTGCAAAAAGGTGAGTGCAGCAGTTCAGTGTGTTGTCAGTCCCTGAGGACCTTGTGTAGGACAGAGTAACAAAGACACCTGGGCTTAATACCTGGACTAAGCAGCTCGCTGCTGCATGCATGTCCTCCTGTCAGCACGTTTAACTCCCAGAGTCCGAGACACGATCAACTGAAATGCACAACCGACAAAAGCTTTCTTTTTTATGAGATCTCTGCTGTCTCCTTGTTAATATTAATACGACCCACTGTTATTATCACAAACAGTAGTGTTTTGATTCTAATAAGATGGGACTTTTCCTGTTATACCAAAGAAACCATCAGTGTTTTATGCAACAAACACCAGCTGTGAGACTGGGTCACACCCTCAGATCCCCCAGTCGGCCACCATGTTACTCCCAGACACAACAGATGGCTTCTTCTGACTGCTCCCATCGAGGCTATTAAATAATTAAGACTCTCATCAAGACCTGAGCATGCCTTATGATTTGGCACATGGCCAGCCTGCATCATTTGGCAGCGAGGAGTCTGAAGGAAGAAAGAATGAAAGATGGAGAGGGAGAGAGTTTGATTGTAAAACAAACTAATAAACAGAATAAACCTTTAAAATTGTCCCTATTTAGAATTCTAGTTAAAGTTTGGTTGACATTTCAGTTGTATCCTCCAGAGGCACAGTGTTTGACTGAAACTAGTGTTGCAGTTGAATGAAATATTTATTACGCTAAAGAGTCCCGAGGATAAGATCTGACACATTTAGCCGTGTAACACTGCAGCCCGAGCCAACTCTAGGCCGTGTTCTTTCCCTCTTGCGCTTATTTTGCCGTTTGTTTACTGTATGTTGTGGCTTATGGGCATGAATTATGAATTATCCTCTGGAGGGACCGCCACTCCGAGGAAACATGGTCACATGTTGGGTACAATTGCAGGATCTTCCCCTGAGTTTGTACTGTACAAAAAGCAAGATCAATCAACCGTCATCTGCATCTCTGTAAGAAAGCAGTGCGAGTGCTGTGCAAAACCAGGCAGGAGATGAGTGAGCGCTAAACATTTGGGTCTCCCTGATGCTTCGGCTTCACAGTTGCTCTGCCGTCTCCTCTTGTCAATCATCTAGATTGACAGGGCGGTGTGTCCTACACGGTTTCTCAGAGATGGCCGACACTTAGCTGTGATTTGGCTCCGCAGGGGTCTGCTTCACACTCTTTTATTGTTAATTGCAAAGTTGGGTGAGAGGGCTACTCCCACACACTGACTCATTGGCAGCTTCACACAACATGCTGGGACATTATTAGTCAAACTGTGGAGGGCTGATGCTCACTCTGTGGATATGTTTTCTTTCTCCTGGAAACTCATCTGAGAACAGATCATGTTTGTTAGCAAGTTATTTTTAGAATGGACATAGAGTGGTTGTCTATACTTACAGAAGAAAAGCAAAAATTAGAAGTGCCAGTTCTGTCTTACACTACATTTCAATCCATAGGGTTGATACTATACATCTTATAGTACAAAATATTAGTTTTGTTTGTTGAAAACAATAATAATTAAAAAATACCTACATGCCTAGGACTATTTGGACCAACGCATATCATTTACTGCCAATCATGCGCGAGTGTTGAAGCAAGGTAATCTTGATGAGAAATGTAGCTGTTTTGGTCCATGAGCTATTTTGCTAACACACATACAGTTGACAGTATGTGTTGGGAATGACTCCGCTTCTATCGCACCAAATTTTAGTGTGATATCTAAAACTGTGAGTCATAATCATTGTGTTTCCTATGGTGTCTTAGCTGCAGCAGCCATCTTGAAGGAGATCAACTTCGAAAGTTTATGTTTAAGTTTTAGAAGTGCATCCAATTATTATTATTTTTTATAAATCATTAAAATCCATCCACTGATTAAGGAGATATTTTGCTAATACTACAAATAAATGAACACACGCATATAGACAGGCTAAAACATATTCCCTGTTGCCTTGAACAGCGGGCGACAAAAATCAGTTTGTGCAAAATTACTGGATAAATATTAGAAAGTTTTAAGTTTTTATTCCTTCTACGTTTTGAAAAAAATAAAATAAACTGATGTAAGAACATATTGGAATTAGAATTGTGTTGTATATTTAAAGTTGTATTTAGCGTTAACTTTTATTTAATCTGGTAGATCTCCTTGAGATTAAAATTCTCTTTTTCATGAGAGACCTGGCCAATAATGGCAGCAGCACACAATTACTAGTAGTAAAACCACAGATATCGAAGCATAATTAAAATGCATCATGGTAAATAAAAATAGAAAAACATGAGGAAAACGCCCAAAAAAGTAAAATAGAACTAAAATAGAATTTAATACCAGTTGAAACATTTATTAACAAATGCTTCATTTACAAATTGTTTGAGAATGGCCTTAAAAAACAAAAGGCAAACTCCTTCAACTTCAAGTCTTTCTCTAGTTGATTCCAGTCTGAGGGAGCAGTAAACTGGAATATTTTTTTGCTGTGGTAAGTACGAACCTTAACTGCAGTTAATAAAATTAACTCATCTGGGCACAGAGAAAAACCTCCTGAGGATTTTCTAACAACAAAGGACAGGCGGTAAGGGGGAAGTAAACCCAAGATGACTTTATAAATAAATTTATACCAGTGATAGAACCATCATGTCTCCATAGTCTAAGATGGGTAAGAAAGTGATGGCGACAAGATGTTTTCTAGCCTGAAAAGAAAAACAAGACCTAATTCTGAGAAGAAATAAAACTTTTTTTTTTTTTTTTTTTTTTTACCAGCTGTTCCATGTGGGGAACAAAGGCCATGGACTGATCAATAATAAAAACCCAAGTATTTATTCTGAGGTACTACTTCGGTTTGAGAGCCTTGAAAAGTAACAATGGGCGACAGCTGTGGTTTAGACGAAGCCTTATCATTAGAAAACAGCATTATATTTGATTTATCTGCATTCAGAACAAGCTTTAAGTTATCAAGATTGGACTGAACAACTTTAAAAAGCTGCTTGTAGCTTTTCTAAAGCACTTTGTACTGTGTTGGCAGCACACTGAAAAATAAAATGAATGTAATCGACTTGTTATATAAAACACAGTATATGCACATTATTTTCCTTTGCTTTAACTAGTTTTATTTTTCATTTTAATCAGACGGTAAGTACATTGGTGAAAAACATAATTATTTGATTTTGGAATACAGTGAAGTACAAACAAATCAGACGATCAAAAAAAAAAAAAAAAAATCTTAAAACTCTTGTTTATCTGGTTGAAAGTAACAAGAAGGAAACTTTGAAAGCACTGTCAGTTGTTGTGTGTTGGCAAATGCCAAAAAATGTTCTATTTTGATACCAACGTGTTGTCTCTGTGTCTGTGTCTGTGTCTTTAGATAAGGCTCCACACTTCTCCAGACTTGGAGATGAGGAGATGAACGCTGGTCAAAATGCAACTTTTCAATGCGTTGCTGCTGGAAGATCGTCGGAGGCGGAAAAATTCCTGCTGGAGGTTGGTGGTTTAATGGTGTTGATACTTGAAGAAACTCATCTGGGTGGATGAGATGTGTGTGTTGAGGTTCTACATTCAGCTCAGTTGACAGAACAAAGCAATGACTGACTTGGATTTGTTTCATATCAACACACTTGTCTTTGTTTTTTTGCTGCGTATGCCAGCATTTTTTTTTTTCATATGAAACCAACATCTGCCTGTTAAGACACTATTAAAGTCACATCCTGATTACATGACAGTTCTCATATTTTGTTGATGGAACATGAAAAACCTATCTGACAGGATAAATGCAGTTGCTGGATTTAAGTGTGCCACATACTGCAGTGCTTTTATTGATATTCAAAGGATGAAGAGAAGCTGCAGCAATATCATTCTTTCTAATGTCTGTGTGTGTGTATTTGTTTGTCTGTACCATTATGTCTTCTCAATATCTCATGAAGCACTGAACAACTTTTCAGAAATAACCACTGGATGACTGTCTAAACTGATTACCTTTTGAGTCCACCCAACTAAAGATATCTGCCACAGTAAGGGAAATTTAGCAAACAAAATGCTATATGTGTCAGTTTTACAGATATCGAGAAGAACTGGTATGGTAGTATCCTGCTCTAATCCCCAACATCTAGTCTGAGAGCTCACTCAGAAGAAAGTGTTGCATACACAAGATCTGTGTCCAAAACTTTGCCATTTACTATTGGAATATATATATATATATATATATATATATATATATATATAT